AAAAAGAAATATTTAAATGTTCAAATTCTGGCAGAAAGCTTGTGGCGGAGATGTGGTCAGCTACATAAATATTTGCTCCATTTATAGAAAAGTGGTTGGTCGGAGAAGTTATAAAGAAGGGAGAATTGGAAGTACAGTGGAAAACAATCAGAACAGGGAGCTTCCAACGTTTCGCTGTCAAATGACAAAATAAATTGTTAGGAACGAATATTGAAGCAGGTAAGAGGCGGGTTGTGGATAGAGGGAGGAAGAAGGGAGATGGAATTGCAAAACAAATATTTGAAAGAAGAGTGAACACAGAGGAAGGAGAAGGGAAGTCATGGTTATGTGATGTTGATGAGATCCTGATAAACAGAGAGGCGAGAAGTTTAACGAACAAAAAGGAATAGTAGGCGCTTTCATTGTGCAAGAAAAAATAGTACAGAAAGGCACAGGGAATGTCATTTAAATAAGTCTACTTCATTATTTTCTCCTGATGATGCAGTACTTCAGACAAACTCTGCCCACAGCCTGAAGTTCAATCCTGGTGGGGCTCAAGGTCAACTCAGCCTTCCATCCTTCCAAAGTTGATAAAATGAGGAGGTTGCTTCTCTCCTTGATTAGTTTCTATCCATTGCTTCTTGTCCTGCCCTCAGGTGCTTTGGAGAAAACCTTGACTCCCTCTTCTTTGTGGTATCCCTGAATTTGTCTCCTTCTCCTTCTCCTTCTCCTTCTCCTCCTCCTTCCTCCTCCTCCTCCTTCCTCCTCCTCCTCCACCTCCACCTCCTCCTCCTCTTCCTCCTTCTTCCTATTGTTATTGTTATTTTGTACTCTGCATATTTTTAAGTAACTATAAAAATCTGCTCTAGAGATCTTTGCCACTTGTGGATGGGCCTACTATTATTTCCTATGGAATTACAAATTCTCGTTTTTTTAAAAAAGGACAACTTCTGCTATCCTGAATTGGTTTGGAGAAGACATCTGGAGCCATCTTCAAAGTAGATGTAAACCAGGAAATGGATCAAGCCTCAATCCTGGGCTCAACTCTCAGCCATATACAGATAAGAATACAAATATGTACTGTATTTTTCGGAGTATAAGACGCACCGGAGTATAAAATGCACCTACCTTTTTTGGTGAGGAAAAGATTAGCATAAGGAAAAAAAAAAATCTGCTCCAGCAATTTACCTCTTTGCAGCAAGCAGCAGAGCCCTGCACAAAACAGCTGAGAGCAAATCAGCTGAGAGTCAGGAGGCCAATCCAATCAACTTGTGCTAATTAGGCTGTGTTGAAGCTGAAAGGAGCTGTTTTTTCTTGCTGTTTGCTTGCAAGGAGGTAACTGCTGCAAGGCAGAGGCCAAAGGGTGGGGACCAGTGGGTGGGTGGGGCTACATTCAGTGTATAAGACACGCCTAAATTTTCACCCCCTTTTAGGGGGGAAAAAGGTACGTCTTATACTCCGAAAAATATAGTAATTTCCATTCAATATTTCTTGACAGTGTCTCATTAATCTTCCTGAAATTTAAAATTTGTACAAAGGGCTGCTTAATATTCCAATGAAGCTTAGTTTCTTGAACCATGAGTGAAAAACATTTATTCTAGAAGGATGTATCTGTCAGGAGAAAACACTATCTTCATAGCCAACCGAGAATGCCATTTTGTGCTAATAGAAACCTGGCCAAGCCAAAGTACAGCAGCTGCGTTTAAGACACAGCTCATTACTAAAGGAATAATTTCAATCTAGACCAGAACAGCCAGATATCTCTCTAATCATGCAGTGTCTATCAGCCAAATATTGTAATAGTATATTCAACCATATAGATCAAATTGAGTGCAACAAGCGTTGAATATGTTTTATCTGGGAAATCATTGTTTTGTTCTTTCTCTCTTTTCATTTACTTGTTAGGAAATGACTTTTGATTCCTTATGCTTAAATGTTATGCGAGCATATAAGATACATCTGTTTCTTATACACAATCCAGAAACCCTATTAAGATAGGAAGGAACTTGATTCCAAGTCTGAAATGGAATCCCTTGACCAGTGGTGGTATTTAGCCAGTTCTATCCAGTTCAGGAGAACCGGTAGCGGCTTCGGGAGGCTCCGCCCACCCGCCCAGACATCATCACGTCCCATTTTTGATACTCTATGCATGCACGGAGGTGGTGCATGCAATCACATTTGCGAACTGGTAGCGAAGGTAAGTGAATACCACCCTGCCCTTAACTATACAGTCTACATTCCTAGAAATCTGAATTCTACTTTTGGGGGCCATTCATTACATTATGTTACACTCTGCTGTCAAGGAATATATAAGCCTTCCTTTCCAATTGGATTTATTTTATTTTACAGTATATTCTACTCAATGTACTGAATATCTGTATGAAACAAAATACCAACAGGTATTTTTGTGGCTCCGTTACCTGAGCCTGTGTCATCATCAGGAGAGGACTCCGAGAGTGAAGGAGAGGAGTTGGCAAGGCCTCCCTCTCCAGGACCCTCCTCTCTGGCAATGCCTTCGGTGTCCGCCAAAGGGCAAGTGATAGGGCCGGGGCCAAGCACGTCCATGCAGCCACAGGGGGACAGTGATGAGGGTAATGAGTCTTGGCTGGATCCATGCCAGCGTCGCAGAGATAAGCGCGCACAACAGAAGAAAAGATGTGCCGGAGATTAGGCTCAGTCACTGGACCACACCCCACAGGGTATAAAAGGGAGCATGGTGGCCAGTCAAGCCTTGTGACAAACAAAGCTGAAAACTTCCACACCATTCTGCATTGCCGGACTTTTGCTATAGACTTTGCTGGATTATATTTGGACTTAAGTTACTCTGTAATTATTGAACATTTTACTTTGATGTACCAGAAGCGGAGAGAAGTTATCTCTTCCCTTCGTGAGTAATAAACTCTTGGCAGGCAGCCACTAGGTTGCTGCCAAGTTCTGTTATCATAAGGAAAAGGATTTTCTTGGCTGGTTTGGTTTTTAACTCTTGGATGTCTGTTGGTGTGTGTACGTGTGGGACGGGGACAGAACAGGTATTCCTCAATGTATGGCTACAATGGATCCCAATTTTAGGTTGCTAAGTGTGGTATTTGTTAACCTGAGTTTTGCCCCATTTTATGACTTTTCTTGCCCTAGTTGTTAAGTGCAGTGGTTAAGTGAGTAACTCAGTCATTAAGTGAATCTGACTTCCCCATTGACCTTCCTTGTGAGAAGGTTGCAAAAGTTGATGACATGACCCTGGGATACTGAAATTGTCATAAATACGAGTCCATTGCCAGGCATTTGAATTTTGATTACGTGACCATGGGGGGATGCTGCAATGGTCTTAAATGTGAAAAAAAGGTCATGTCATTTTTTTTCAGTGCCGTTGTAACTTTGAATGAACTGTTGTAAGTCGAGGACCGTAAGTGTGTTTCTCACTATGCTGGATGATGATTCAAATCAGAAAGTTATAGAATAAGAGAACTGATAAAATTAAACAGTAAAATTTAACTGATAAAATTAAACAGTAATGGTACCCCAAATGTAAATTTTCTCACACATTTCCTAACCGAAATTTATTTGGTTAGATGTCCTAATGCATATCTTTATGTGGGACTTCTAACACAAAAGTGCATATTTCTATAAGAAGGCAGAAGAATCTCCTGTAGGATATTGGGTTGAACTCCTTTTGAAGTTTGTGATACACAACAGCTTGAATCATTTGGCAATTTATTTTTCTACCAGATGTTGTAATATTTATGCTTGATTGATGTAACAGCTGGTCCTGAAGTAACACCTGTTTCCATCTGCCAAATGGTTTTCATTCTCAAACCAATCTGTTAAGTTTTCATGTAAATGTCTGGCATAGATATGTTGTGCGCATTTATTCAAATAAGAGTCTCTCAATAGCCAATAGATTAGTACTTATACTATGATTTCATAATTACCCTATCTTAAAATACATGCTTAATAGCTTCTGCAACACAAAAACGTAAGGGAAGTTTTGAAATGTTATCAGAATGCATGGGCAGTTAGCCAGTTCAATCCTTTTATTCATAATATTGCTTTCTCAACACTGAAAACTCTTGGTACCTTCGTACGAAGCTTTCAAGCATTATAGGAACCAAGCTGCCAAAAAGGGAAACCAACTGTTTCATTAAAAGGTTTTATCCCTTGATAATATACTGTATCGTATCAGAATTCTTTATATAACTGTGAACTCCTTTTGTAAACTTCTGTGCATTCTACATATCTTTGGATGTCATGCTGTGACTTGCACTTGATTCAGAAGCACCGAGGGGCTTCTGGGTTGAAAGGATTAGCCGGTGACATCACCGTTACCCTGGGGACATCCAGTTGGGGGCTCCTGTCATGTCTCCAGCAGGAGCTGGAGTGAAGGACGAGAGCTCAACCCCACCCCCACATCATCTCTTGGGTCTCGAATGTGGGCTTGGTAACCTCCTGCCATGGGTTCCAACCACTCAAGCTACGTTGCTCCTATGCTGTGATGATGGCATATTAGGATTCCTTATCACTGGATATCTGTGACTATGGAGATTTTCGGTCATCCAAGTCATGGTTGTCTCAAAGGCACTTTTTCCTGAGCCAACTGGACTTCTTAATTTTTCTTTGAAGACATTTCACTTCTCATCCCAGAGTTGAAGAAGCTTCTTGGATGAGAAGCAGTGGTGGGATTCAGCTGGTTCTGTCCAGTAGCGGCAACTGCGGTAGGCCCAGCCCACCTGCTCAGATATAATGCCATCCTATTTTGCCATGTTTTGGGGGGCTGTGTGCACAAGCAGAAGGCTGAGCATGTGTGGATGGTGGCGCGTGCAAGCTCACATTTGCAAACCAGTAGGGAAGGTAAGTGAATCCCACCTCTGATGAAAAGCGAAACGTCTTCGAAGAAAAACCAGAAAGTCCAGTCGCCTCCTGAAAAAGCACCTTTGGGATATCCGTGAGCAACCTTCATAGCTTCTGTGCATTCTACATTATCTATGGATTCCATGCCGTGACCATAAGGCATATCAGCACTTCCTTACCATGGTGTAACTGTGAGCCACCTTCATAAGTTCTGTGCATCCTTGAGCATCCGCAAAAGCCCGGATTCCCAAACAGTTGGACGGATGTAAAAGCTTCATGAGGAAATGACAACAGACTTCAACCACTTGAGGGAGTTGAAGGAGACACGCAGCTGCTAGGAGGTTTTCAATGGTATCTTCTTTAAGTTCCAAACAACCTGGATAAGAGATGAAGCAACACGATCAGTTTGCCACCCATAAATTTGTACATACCTTAGTAACTTAGAGCCAAGTATTAAGTCTTAACCACAGATGTAGTATTTTGGCTACGCTATTACAGACATGCAGTCATAATGACCGCTCTAGCTACTGGCCATTGTCCAAGTAATTGCACTACAATATTGTGACTAGTGGTTCTGGATCTATTGCTTGCAAAAGGTACAGAAGACCATTTGAATTTGTTCCTGCCATATAAATTATTGCACGACGTAGATTGTACCTGGTCATCAATTTCATCAGGAGTGTCATTATCACTGTCAGAATTGGCGACGGCAGCGGGTTCCTCATCGTCCATTACAAAATTTTCATTGCAATCTGATTCCACTTCACTCAGATCACGCTCTGCTTCTTCATATCATGTTTGAACAGTTTCTTTGAAGTTTGGGTCACCAAATTTCACTCTTTTTGGCAGAAAATGTGGCCCCGACATTATAAAAAACATATACGTTAACAAAGATCTGAGGTCAAAATGACCACAATTCAAATTCAAACACCGCTACAGAAAACACCAAATAACTTACATAAGCGCGATGCTGCATACACCCTTATTGGTGGGAAAACAAAACCTGTTCGCAACCAGAATGGTCCATTTCTAAAAATAGGGGTGTTCCAAACATTTTGAAAAACTGTTGCGGTCACCATGACCGCAGGTCTGTGGTTATGGGTTAAGATCATGAAATACGTAACGAAATTCTCAGCCATCATGATACTAGTGGAAACTCAACTTCGTGCAATATTTTAATTTGGGAACTAAATAGCCCTGTTTTTGCTTTCTCTGTAGGCTTCACTGGGTTCTCCTTTCTTAAGTATCAGCAGGTTATTCCCAGCAGTTGAGGAAAATCTGGCATACATTATTACCTCATGTTGTTTGCATTGCACTATTAAACAAATTAAATATTTGAAGTTTGGAAAGATACATTCCTTTGAGATCTGCACTGCAACGTTTTCTTTTCCTCATGGGATGAAACTAAGGGGAAACTGGGACTAACTGTACCTGTGTTTTAATGTTCGCGTTTTAGAAGTTTTAATTAAAGGACTGAAAAGCATATAGTTCATAAATCCTTTTGCAATCTTCAACTTTACAATCTAGCTGAAAGATACCAATACATCTGATTACAATTTTGCTTTTTGTTTACAATCAATGCATTTAGCTTCATTAGTTGTATTGCTGAAAACTGACGTGCAGATTTAAGTCTAGATAAAGTGGGAAAAAATAATTGTATACAAATTTATCAATTTGCACCCTCACCAGGATGCTAATCAGTTTCAGACAAACAAATCACGAAAGCAAAATATGAATGTTTACTCTAGCTCTTTGTCATAGTTGAAATGGCTAATTTTAATTTTTAAAATGGCAAATCTCCCTTTTCCAAATAATAGGCTTCATGTAACCATATTATATGCTGTAATGCAAAATGTTTAATGTTTGTAAGCCGCCCAGTCACATGTAGCTGAGATGGATGGCATACGAGTCAAACAAACAAACAAAAATAAAATAAAATAACTGTTCTAGTCTATAAGGACAAATTTCCTAATGGTGAGAGCAATTAACCAATGGAATGGCTTGCCTTCAGAAGTTGTGAGTGCCCCATCACTAGTCACTTTTAAGAAGAGACTGGATAAGTCACTTGTCTGAAATGGTATAGGACCGTGATGGCGAACCTATGGCACACGTGCCACAGATGGTACGCGGAGTCATATTAGTGGGCATGCCAGCTCAGCTCTGGGGGCATGCGTGAGCTGGCCAGCTGATTTTCGGGCCCACTTCCCAGAAGTAGGGAAACAGGCTGTTTCCTGCCTCTGGAGGGCCTGGGGGCGGGGTGGGGAAGGCCCGTTTTTCTTTCTTATCTGGCTCCAGATCCTCTCTGTGTATCTGGGAAGGGCGAAAACAGCCTTTCCCACTCCCTTGGAGGCCCTACGGAGGCTGAAAGGGCCCATTTCCCGACTCCCGGTGGGACAGGAAGTGACGTTTTTTTCCTGTCCTCAGCCTCCAGAACCTCTCTAGGAGTCTCTAGGAGCCTCTCTAGGAGTCTCTGGAGGCTGGGGACAGCAAAACATGTCACTTCCTGTCCCACTGAGAGTTGGGAAATGGACCCTTTCAGCCTCCATAGGGCCTCCAAGGGAGTGGGAAAGGCTGTTTTTGCCCTTCCCAGATACACAAAGAGGATCTGGAACCAGGTAAGAAAGAAAAATGGGCCTACCAGGCCATCATGTGCCAGGAGTGGGGGGGAGGGGGTTGCGCACACATGTGCATGGGCACGTGCACGCGCGACCCTCCCCCGCCCCCCTCTCCTGGCATGCGATGGCAAAAAGGTTAGCCATCACTGGTATAGGATTTCCTACTCAAGCAGAGGGCTGGACGAGAAGACCTCCAAGGGAATTTCTAACTCTGCTATTCTATGTTATAAAGCATACACTTCTTTTTTGTGGATAAGGAGTGGGAATTAATTCAGAGCCCAGATAGATGGAGTCTTAGTGGAGAATCACTTAAATATGAGCCAACAGTGTATGGCAACAGACAAAAAAGCTAACATAATCCTAGGCTGCAGTAATAGAGAGATAGAATCAAGATCATTGTAGATTCTAGTACAACTTTACAAAGTTTTAATAAGGCCATACCTGGAATACTGCATCCAGTTCTGGCCACCACAATATAAAAAAGATGTTGAGACTTTGGAAAGAGTGCAAAAAAGAGCAACAAGGATGATTAGGGGACTGGAGGCTAAAACATACGACGAACGGTTGCAGGAATTGGGTATGTCCAGCGTGGTGAAAAGAAGAGGAGACATGATAGCAGTGTGTCAATATTTGAGGGGTTCATACAAAGATCAAACAGGGTCAAACTGTTTTCCAAAGCACAAAAAGGCAAGATGAAGAACAATGGATAGAAACTAACCAAGGAGAGAAGCAACCTAGAACTAAGGAGAAATTTTCTAACAGTGAGAGCAATCAACCGATGGAATGGCTTGCCTTCAGAAGTTGTGGGTACTCAACACTGGAAGCTTTCAAAAAGAGACTGGACAATCACTTGTCTGAAATTCTATAGGGTCTCCTGGTCAAGCAGGGGTTTGGATTAGAAGACCTCCAAGGTCCATTTCAACTCTATTGTTCTATGTTCTATTTTCCTTTTTTTTTTTTTAACCCCAGCTTTCAGTCTCTAATAAATTATGACTTTGCTTGTTTTTGTTCAATTAATCTAAGTCTAAAAGGGAAAGACATTCCAAAGTCACAGTAGAATAACTAAAGAGACATTTTGTGTGAATTGGATTGTACAGAATTCAGAGGTGGTATTCAGCCAGTTCACACGAATCGTTGGTGGAAATTTGGCCAGGGTCGCCGAACTGGTACTGATGGCCGGCTGGCCACGCTCCCAAACTGGTCCCCTGGTCGCCGCTCTCTCACACTGCCCACCATGTTCATCACCGCCATGTTCTTTGCGCACGTGCATTCCATTGCCTTGCAAGTCCAATGGGATGCACATGCGTGAAGAACATGTTGGCAACAGCAGCTTTTTCCGCGACCTCCAGTACTTTTTGATGGCCTGCAGCCAGCCGCTCCAGCCACAAAATTTGGGAGGCTTCTTTGCCAGGCACTTTCCAGCAATGGCAGCTGGATGTGGGCAGCTGAAAACTCCAGCCAGCTTGCCTTCCAGAATCTGGACCAGTTGCCGCGGAAGGTAAGCAGCCCGAACAAAGAGGTGGTGGTGGGGGAGGAAGTAGGACTAGGGCCGGGGCCGTTAAAGGAGGAGAAATGAGGGTGACTGACAAAGGGAGGGGGCAGATAGGTGGAAATCCCAAAACTTTTCCTACCTTTTCCTGTGGCTGTGGCTAGGTGGGGGGTGTCATGTGACTGAGTGGGTGTGGGCGTGAGTGATGTCAAGTTGGCCACACCCACTCATTCACATGCCACACCCACCTAGCCACACCCACCAAACTGCTAGCGAAAATTTTTATAACCCACCACTGACAGAATTGCTTTGCTATTTCCAGCTGCTTTTACCTTCCAGTCTTCCAATCAATTCTAAGGTCCTTTGCTAACTTGGTTCTATCTTGCTGAGCTTCCAAACTCAGATGAGAATGTCACTGCGTTTTTTTATTTACCAGATGAGCTCATTATTTCTGGACTATCAGACTTTCCGTAGCTTGCCAAGAATTGTTATCAGTAAGCAAAACTGCACATGTCCACCTCACATTCCTTCACACTCCTTCCTTTGTTCTCTTGCCAGAAAGGTCCAGCTGAGAAATAGCCGGCACAAACTATTTCAAAATGTAACTCTTAGATTAGTGAGATGTTTTATTATTTTCTTTATAACAAATAAATGAGTTTTCTTAGAAGATATGTTCTTCGGGTTTGTTTTCTTAAAGTATACTCGCAGGGAAAGGTCTCGATCCATCTCCTCTAATCAGGGTGATTATCCCAAAAGCAGAATGGGATTAATCAATGCCCTGACAGAGAAGAGCGAGCTCCTGTGACCTACTGAAACTAAACAAGGTTGGACTTCCTGCATTTCTGAGAAATCAGCCTCAGTGGATTAGATTAGAACGAACAGAAGTGAAATGTAACCAGTGTTAAACTAGTCTCATTGAATTCGGGTGGATTTAAATCATAATCAACTTAAACCCCCTAATTCACAATATCTAATATACTTGTAAGTATTATTAGTTTGGATTGAGCTCAAAATCAATAAGTAAGAATGAGATGTTAAATCCCAAGGCTTCCAAGTTTGAAGCAGACATTGATTAAAGTGAGAACGAGAAAAATGCATTAAGTAAGGTGAGAAGATTTATTGGACGTAATATGAAAATAAAGGCTATTGAGTACTTGCAGATGTTAATAAATTTGCTTCAATTTTTGTCTATCTCTGAGTAAACATTTTAATTTAAACTGGTCACCAAAGCATAAATTAAGTTAATAATCAGAGTGATAAATATTTCAGATG